TTATACCTACGCATTTAGTTAGTATTTTAACAACCACACATTTATTAAAAGTTAAATTTTATTACATTTCATTAAAAATTGTATTAAAAGAAAAATATTGAAATAATATGTTATCAATTCTTTTAGTACAACCATATAAACCAATAAGCAATATTTATGTTACAATAAAAATGTAAATCAATTTATAAAAAATAAAATTTTGTTATCATGGTTAAAATTGAAACTGAATTAATTAATTAAAATTACTATATAAAATACTGGGTAAATTACGTATGTAGATTATTTTATTTTTGTTAATTATAATATTTATATGAAAATGCTTTCGTTGACTTCTGTTTAGTATATTGGTCAATACACTCATCACATGAAATAGATTCAAGCATTTATTTTAATTGTTAAGAACTGAAAATTAATTTAATTTATCTTTTTAAAAGAGTCGATCGCAAATAATTCATGAATCTAAATATGATATTCATTCAAATACTTGCGCGTTTAAAATCATATGTCTTGGAGCAGATTTCTTCCATCCCATCACCCTTAAATCCGACTCTGTACACCCCGTTTATGTTGTGTATCGTATGAGGTGTATCGAAGACTATACGATTAAAATAATATAACACTTTACACACAATACTACAAATATGATCGATATTATTTAGATATTGTTTATGCGCGTATATAATAGGAATTAAAAGCGATACGAGTTGTAGAATTTAAAGCTATAGCGTGAAATAATACCGGTGTGCTGTGATTCCATGAGCTCAAAAACAAACGGTAGGTGAAACGGTGTGCCGGGGTTACCGACACCCAGATCTTTATATAAATGTACACGAAATAAATATCAAGTTATTTATTTAACATTAAATAAAAGTAATACAATTAATTTAATAAAATTATTCCGGGCCCTGTAGCTGGCTCGAATAAGCGGCCGCGGCGGTCGGTATCGGACCTGAGCAGGTGTGATAGAGAATTGGATACACGGTTGACAGCAGACTTAAGCAAGCGATCAATACGACCATGATCATTTTACCAGCGGACACTTGTGTAAGCAACGTCGAAAAGGTTTGTACGGATATTGGCCTTGAAAAGAGGCGTTTTTAGTGTCGACGAATAGGTCCACGAAGAGCCCCGCGTGTAAATGCCGCTGGAGCCGGATTCGTGGTTGTTTTTCACGACTGTGGTTGCCGTAGCCGCCGTGCAGTCGTCGAGGTTGATATCGTCGTATTTGCCGCAACCGTCGTCGACATTATCTCTACCGCCGTTGTCGTCGTAATCTCTGAAATCGTCATATTGCCATCGGGTGCTTCTATTCTTCTTATCTTTTGGATGTTGATCGTTGTGAATGGAAGAATGGAGTTTCGATGCTTCGAAAAGTGACCGGTATATACCTAATCAGACATCGACGCTCCATTCTCATTGGTTGAATTTTTATCAATCCAGTCGACGATGTAAAACGACACTATTCCTCCGCTATATTAGTTATTTTCATGTCGTTTTACATCATCACAAAGATATTCTTGGTGGCTGTGAAAAAGGCCATTTTTGTCTGAGCGCGTGCACCGTTACATAGATTCAAGCAAAAAAGCAAAAAAAAAAAAAGCGATTAAGTACGGATTGTGCAACAAACGTTATGTATAGATTAAAATATAACAATGTAATGTTGGTACAATAGCGTTGGTCGCGCGTTTGCGTTTGTCTCATCCTTATCTTTGTCTTTGCAGGTGGTAAAAAGGCGCTCGGTTTATGTAATGACTACACACCGGCGATCTTTCCGTAGTGCGTTTTGCCGCTCACCGGACAGCAGTTTTCTGCATCACAATGCACGTAATAACAGTATTAACACGCCGTAATTATTTTAATGCCGTACATTTCTAAAAGATCACTCAGTCGTGAGTTTATCAATGCAAATTCGTCTGCGTTACAATACATAATTCTATAATTTTCAGCGTTTTCCGCGCGTTGTTAAAACCAACAATATGAAACACTACGAGTCATAAAAATAATATGATAAATCACGTCTACTATTACTATAGTTAATTTATAAAAAATTTAATTTTGTTCAAAAAAGCAATACAACTGTTTTATAAATAAAAACATTTTTTTTTTTCGTATTTTGTATTTTTGTATTTGGCGAGAACGGTGCGTATCATAGACCTATTGAAATGTATTGATAATTTTTTATAGTATTGCGAGTAACGATATCAATAATAATTTTTCACCATTGTGTTAAACCTGACCAAATCCTACTAAATACAATGTACTATGTTTATATAACTCAATATAAATTTTTTTTTAAGTATATAAAAGCACAATATTATCGTGTTTTAATTTTCATCATTCATTTTTAAACTTATCGAAAAACTTTACTGATGTATCGTTCAAATATATCGATAATTTTAACTCATGGAAACTTCGATTACATCCCTAGTATAATCGCAGTAGATCTTGTCCGCTAAGAGTTCATTAGAAACAATGTGTACCATACGTATCTTGTACATGTATAAAGCGCACGTTTGATTTCTTATTGATTATTCAATTATTCATTATTGATTATTTCCAGTATCTATTAACCAATTAATATATGTATGATATTCAAATCGAAGACAAACATTTCTCTGTACTTCTGAACAGAATCTTCACTTAATTTTCCAACATATATTTCGATTGAATTTCCCGTTCGATAACGGTTCGCGTTGTATTTTTTTTGTATTTTTTTGTTGAATTTAATTTTTATGAAAGTAATTAAAATCGATTGTTTTGTTTTGATTACATATATTATTATTTTAATATATATATATATATCTGCGATATTTAATCCATTGACACGTCATAACATTTTATGTTTAAACGAAACCTAATACGTATATGTGAGCCATGTAATCCTTTTCAACAAGTTAACATATATCAACTATTTTAATAGAAACGATATTATTGTACAAAGAATTTAATTTTTGAATAAAAACCATAAGATTTATATTTTTAAAAGTTTGGTTATCTTAACCTCGGCTAAAGTACGAGACGTGCATCAAAATGTAATCAATTTTTTTCCCATATCTATTTTAACAGATTTCTTTAAACTCACGGTTATTTTTTATCTAATAACATTCATAGCGTTATTGGCAGTAAGATTTGCTGTTAATATTGGTCCTCCGATATTCTCGAGTATTCACGTTGTTTATCAAAGACTGAAGATCAGTTTCTTTCATACTTCTAAGTCGTTATTTTATGTATAAATTATCTTTTTTTCAACACTGATATTACAAAATGGAATAAATAATAAATATTCACTACCAGAAGAAAAACACAAATATACGAAAATGCACTGTGCAGAAGGATTGCATCGAATAAAAAAATATAAATTTACATATGAATGGCTTCCGATAATCAAAGCAGAAAAATACGTAAATTCCAACGGAGTGCATTAGGAAACATTATGTAATTTCATTTTCTACCAATTTATTAGCTTAAACATACTATATACCAGATACATTTACAGCTCATTTTTAGTCATACAGAATAATAATGATAAATGCTATTTGAAAAAGACGGGTGTATTTGTATGCTTAGTTCGTAAAATTGCCGATTTCATGAAATCAATAACGCCGTTTCTGAGTACGTTAATTAGAAAATATGATTACCGATTTTACGAATTAAAGAAGAATTTTTTAATGCAAAGTTTCAATAAAAAAAAAAAAGAAGAATTTTTTCATGTATTTCATATAATATGTAGTTTTATGTCTTTATAGTTGCCGAATACGTGAATTTGGAAATAGAGTTGCTGATTTCCTTAAATCGGTAATTTTACGAATTTGACGTAAAATATGTTAGCGATAGTCAATCAGATATATGCAATTCAGATTTATATACCATAAATTAAATTATCTTTACCTTTTCCGAACTTGAAAAATAAATATTTATAGTAACTCGTTAAAAATTTAAAAAAAAAGAAATAAAATACAATTATCAAGGATTATTATTGAAGATCCATTATCGACTTAATAAAATTTTTTTATGCTATTATTAATATTAAGTTTGCGTAGTAAAATTATTTATTTTACGAGTAAAATAAAATATTGCTTTGTCGAAACTGCTGAGTAGATAAAAAAAATTACAATATTTTTAATATTAAATAAGTTGTAAAATGTTATTTCATGTAAATATGAAGTATTTTATTTTAAACCTAGTTAAGATTTTGAAAAAATATTTCTTGAAAAATGTTACTTTTCTTAGGTAAATAGGCGTGCGCAGAGTTTGTCCGTAGGGGGGCTCCTTAAAAAAGTGAACCAAAGATTCTTGTACTAAAGACTACTAGTATAATTAAATATTTTAAATTTTATGAATTATTTATTTAATTCAATATGCAAATATAAAAATAAATACTATTTAAACTTACACAATTTATATCTAAGAAATACTTATTTACATATTGTTATATTATTTAAAACTCCATCCTTTTGTCCACGGGAATAAGATTTTTGAATGTATCAATTACATCTTCAATTTTTATATTATATGCAAGTTCTGATTAGTCTGATTAATGACTAATAACTTTATTATATTTATTCACAGATATCAATTCTATACTATAAGATTAAAACTGGCTTTACTTTATTCATGTAAAATGTAAAAATTTTCGCTATCTAGTATAGTATATATATACATTTATTAAAGAAAAAGCCAAAAAAAAAAGAGTCTACAGGGGGGGGGGGGGCCAGCTCGGCGACAACCGCCCGGCGCCCCCCTTTTTTGGGCAAAACCCTCCCCCGTCGCCCCCCCTCCTTTCTATATTGATCCCCAAAATTTTTATTTTTTAGTAGGTACGCGACCCCCCCCCCTAAAAAAAAGTATGCCATAAATAAATAAGATTTTTACTATAATCCATTTTATCATTGAGTTTTTTATAAAATACTATACGAATACAATGTACTGAATAATAACTTAATTAATAAATAAATAAAATAAATTATAAAAAAATACAAAAAATTAGTATAATAGAAAATTTAGTGTGAATTTTGATTTCGGACACTGTTGCATAAAATTTCCCACTGGGGTACAATTTCAGATAAGCTGATGCGCATGTCATGTGTGACATCTAATCTGTTTCTTTGTTTTGTTTTAATATTGCTCATGGTAGAAAATCCTTTTTCGCACGAATAAGTGGTAGGAAAAAGTAATAGTTTTTTTATTGCATTAATTGAAAGTTCTGGATATTCATTATATACTGCACACCAAAAAAATACAAGAGTTTCATTTCTAAATTTATGTTCATAAGTTTTATCACAAGAAAGATCGATAATCTGAGTTTCAAGAAGCGTATTGAAGTTCAACTCTTCAATAGAAACAGTAAAAGGATTTTCAATCCATTGAAAATCGTCACGAATATATTTTGGGAAATAACTATTCAATGCAATTGATATTTGATTTAAATGCAATGAAATAATTGTTTTGATATCATTGACATTCACCGAGTCGTCTTCTTCTAGAAACTCGCTAAGTACAAAAAACATATCAATATTTACATGGAGGTTTCTGATAATTATTGATAACTTTTTGTTTTCGGAAAGTTGAAAAGTGTGATAGTCGATTTTGGATTCTTCTAAATAATTTGTTGTGGCTCTTTAGTCGTCGACTGAGCACAGGTTCAATTTTAAGGCAGATTTTGTGTTGATCGAGTAATCGTCGATTGTTATATTGTCAGTGACTCATGAAATTTTACGTAATCCGAAATATTGTGTACGTATATTGGTGGAATTTTGGGTTTAGCTAGTGTACCTTGGGAGTTGTTTTCAGGACCAATATTGTTAGTTAAATTTGTGGGTGGATTAACTTGATTAGAGTTCTCGATTTCTTATGGCGAGAAGCGATTTTGTGTGAGAAAGAAAGATGAGTTTGCAGGTGATAAGTCGCGTGCCCTAGCGGTTTTTCTTGGCGATCTAAATTCGTCGTCGGAATTTTGTGATGGAGAGTTGGAGTTATCTTGATTTGATAGGAGTCTGTTTTTTTTTATGACGAGAGGTGGGACTTTTTGTCTATTTTGTTTATTTAATGGGGCTGGATTACCATTGTTAGGTATAGATGCTTTGGAATTTGAATCCATTTTTGGAAATATTATATATAAGTTTAACTGGCTTTCGCCCGTGTGCGGCGATTGCTAGCTATGCGGTTACGTATTAGCGTACAATGGACCCAATTAAAAAGTTACTATACATACCAGATAAGAGCGGCGCAGCGTAAACGTTTCGTACTGCTATCGAAAGCTATAAAAACGTAACGTGGAAATTAACGTGTGGACGGTTCGGCGTCCCAACACATACTGATAAATTTACGACTAAAATAACTGTAATTGTAACCGCGAGTCGCGACCCATCAAAAAAATTTCTCGACCCATGATTTGGAAAACGCTGCACTATACTTTACATCTTCTAGATTAGTGCTTCTCAACCTGGGTGCTGCGGCCCCCAAATGGGCCGTAAAATATTTATTTCATTTAAAATTCTTGAAATCGAATTTAATGAAAAAAAACTTACTACATTTTGGTTTAGACGACAGCAAGAGTATCCTGTAATCTCGAAAGCGGCTTTACTTAAATTAATACCTTTCACATAAACATATTTTTGTGGAACTGTATTTTCACAACTTAAAATTATATTAAACAAACATAGATCATGCATTTCACAACAGTCTTTAAATGCAAACTTCCGTATTTTAGTTTTAAATATCACACCTGATATAAATATGTTATGCGAAAATATGCTTATTATTATTATTATTATTAACCTAGTCTTTGTTTGAAATCAAATCAACATTATTACTGAATATTCTTGTATTGATTTATAGTTATTACCAATTATTTTTTGTTTATATATATTTTAAGTTTTATAAAATTATAGGATTATATTTTAAAAATGTATTAAAAAAATATTTATTTTCTTCACATTTTAATAATTTATTTGTGTGAAATAGTAGATGTAAATTTAGAATATCATTAACAATAAATAATTAATGATTTTGATTGAGGGAGGCTTTGACAGTTTTACATTAAATTTAAGGGGCCCTATAACAAAAAAGATTGAGAAGTACTGTTCTAGATACTAAGCTATGGGCTACATATAGTTTTTAAGCCTTGTCAAAATACATTTATATTTTTATGGATGGTTTTAAAAGGTACAATTTCTAATCACCCTGATTTAAAATGATCCATTGTAGAAATAATTTTTTGTAGATAATTTCAGCCATTTTATCATTAATAGTCAGAAACGATTTTTACTAACCTATATCTATACAATTAATTTAGTTATTTTTGTACTGGTATAATATATGAACAGTGTAATTTTCTAGTTTAAAAATAATTTAAAAGTTAGTGGTATTTTCGAAAATAGTAAAATGACTGTGGATAAAAAAATTTGAACATTTTGGCATGTTATATTTTCAATGTTTTGATCATTTTTTCATAACTTTGCCAAAAGTTATTAAGCTTATTGCAATTGTTTAAAGTAGGAGTTTAGTTGTAAAATAATTTCTTATCGAAACAATAAGTACTATATTTATAAATATTGATTTTAAATTATGCTATTAATTGACTAATCATATTATTAGTCGAAAATTATAACAATAATAATTTTTTTAACATATTGATTATTTCTATGAAACAAAAGTAATTATTATCCCCGTTTACAGTTATAATGGTATTATGTAATTTTTGTTATGATATGAAATATTGTAATGTTAATCCGTTTATATTTGATTTCTAACTGAATGTAATTACTTTCCGGTATTGATCTATAAATCTGTTATAATTCAATTTTAAAAGCAATATATGATTGAACCCGGTGAAAAAAATAAATAAAACGTAAATTCATAAATAATAAAGAAAAAATTATATTATATGGAATCCCCATATTTTTATTAAAACTTTTATTATTTATTGTTCAGTTATTATAAGTATTTTTGCAAAACTGCAATGGTGTACAAAACTCGGAAAATTATCATATTATTGACATTACATTTCTATATGATTTATTAAAAAAATAAATTTCAATTTTAATATAGCTGTGTATATAAATCGTTGCATTCGAATTGCGCCCGAAAATTATATTTTATACAGGTGATATTTCTTAAAAGAATTTTAATTATTTCACAATTTTCCCGCTATTAAACTATTGCTGTCCCAGTATCGATGTACTTGATATTAACGAGTACTTACAGATATAATGAATAGATGGACGATAGAACTGGGCTGAGCCCAACTACTACCTATGTTTTTATTCATGAATCATGAGATATACGAGTATAATAACGAGTATATAGCTTATTATATCGACGAACAAATTAATCTTGAATAGCAATTATTGTTGTGAGAGCAACTCGGAACCGTCGCCAAAAAACCGTAGACACGACTCGGTTGTCGCGACGTATTTTTTATTTTTTTACAGACAGAATTTGTATGCAGCCCTTTACGATCTTAAGTACTTCTGAACATATTATCTTATAAAGCATTTGAAATACTAAAACCACCACAAAAAGTATGCTGAGTCGAGCATACTGAATTTTAAGCATATTCAATTCAATAAATAAAATTCTTCGTATAGTATCGTACAATAAAAAATTACACAAATATTTGATTATATTTTATTATTAGTTATTTATATGAAACATTTGTTGTATTTACAAATAAGAATACAACATTAATTTCAAGTTTTTTTATTTTTATATGCAAAGAAAATTAAATTAAAAGTCTAAGAATTGATACATGTTTACAACCTAAAAATTAGTGATCAGAAAACATCGTTATACAAAATCTTCATGCAGTTCTCTACTCGTTTGGAATCTAAAAACATTTGGTTATCTAATGAGCGTAAGAATTATTATTATTACTAATTAATATCATACGTTAATATTTTGATTACATTTAATTTTAATAGTTGAGTTTATACACTTATTGTTTTCATTCGTTTTTGTTTTTTTTTTTTTTTGCTCCTCTTTTGATATGCATTTCATTATAAATTTCACCATCCGTACTGTTGTATAATTGTAAATTATTCGACGGTGGTTAAATGCATATCATATTTCTCGAAATAAACTTAACGGGATTCTTGTGAATAGTTGGTCGACTACCGGCAATTGCGAGTTGAGTTTGTGAAATATTTGTACAACAGCGGGAACGGGGATACCATTTGCACCAGCTGTAAGATTTTCTTTTATATTGAAGTTCTCACGGTCGACACTATACTGACGAAACGCCCATCATGAATATATTAAATAACGTCGGATCAGGTGACTTAAAAAGCGCAGATTTGAAACACAGTTCTTATTTCAAAACTCGCGAATGAGGTATATATCACAGGATTTATAATAATTAAATTAAAATTATGCACAGTTTGTGGACTTCGTAAAATATTTAAATATATTTTAAACCTCATAAAAGTAAAATAAGACGTAATTTTTCTAGCCAAATTGTATCATTTTTTTTCTCTAAAGAATTATCATTGATGAGTTTTAATAAATTTGTAGCAAGTAAATTATATTTATGGCGAGAAATAGTTAACCCTAACTCCCGAACAGAACTCCGAAAAATGTGTTCAATTGATATTGTTTTTATTTTATTCATAACGTTTGAAATTATACCGATATACTAATTTTTATGGACGATAATATTGTGATAAACTCTCATGCTAAACATCTCACAAAGTACCGATTATATTATGATATAAATTTAATTACATTCAAAAAAAACAAAAAAATTAAAAGTTTCAACGACAACATTATTACTGGTTGTACTTTTTCTTAGGAAGAGTTGGCGCATAACATAGTTTGTTGAAAGTTTAAAATTCTCGTAACATAATACAAAAACTGGCTGTGTCACATCCAGGTAGACGATACGTTTTTAATTCGTTAACCATATCTGAATGTATTTTTGAACATGATTCACACAAATTGGCTTAAATTCAAAAAAACTATTTCTAGAGTGTTTTGTCAAAATAAGCTTCTTTGTGTTTTAAAAGTGGAATTAAGTTGTTACAAGGTATGTTGTACTGTTATGTATTAGTATATTGAGTTATCAAATTAGTAAAAAAAAAAAAAAACCATATTTTATATCATGTATTTTGGTTGGTCCCTTTACTTTAAATGTGTTAAATTAACAAATTTGTCATGTTTTGTTTTCAAATGTATACAGACAACATAACTCGTAAATAGTTGCATTCAAATTTCGTTAAGATAATTATTTTCAAGCTATTAACAAAATATACCTCATCAACACGTCTATAGATACTTGTGTCACTTTCTGTACGTGTTTGGTACTATACATACATTTTATTGATACCTAAAGTGACAATTTTTATAAATAGACTTCAAGAGAGAATACATAATCTGTTTACGTAACGTTTTGAACTTATCTTATATTTTATAAGTTTCCTTTTCTTGGTATATAAGCTCTTAAAATCCAGTTATTCAATCAAATCCAGTTATTATTATTTCGTAATTAACTAATTTCTTGATGATTGTATAA